GGCCATAAAAAGCAGCGATCCCCCCACCGACCATCTCCGACGACACCTGATAGGAAAATGATCCATACGTGTCTATCGCCGAGCTGAGGTTGGTGGACGCCACGTCGGATAGTGTCTCGCTTTACGTTTGAAGTTCGTACTAGTCAGAAAAAAAGTTGTCTGCGCACAGTTGTAGTGGGCGAACGCCATGATGTTGGGACATGTAAAGAACTGAACCAATAAACTGCTACATTAAGTTTTATGTTGTTTTAATCAGTTGGTCGCACATTAATCAGGTAAACAGACTTGTTCATACCTGAAAGTAGGTGTAATATAAGCTTTATGTATCAACATTGATCCTTATGAGATAGATTAAACAGTTTAGGGAACCTTACTTACCTTACACTTAGTAAATTTCTCAGATGCACGGAAGAGGAAGAACAATTCTGAGTCAATGCTTAGTTAATAACACGACACGACTAGCTATCAGGAGTTGTATAGACTGCATCTGTGCGCAGGAACATGAATAAACGTGATTATTAGAAATCAATGAAATAGGTCGTAAAATGGAGGACACTAACTTAAATATATCCTGAGGTGTTGATAAACGTTTTATGGATTTTTGAGCATAAGTAAGCTGGGTGAGAATCAAAAAACGCAGAAAGAGCCAAATAATAAAGAGGAAAGTAAAGAATGGGTGAAAAAGTACCGTTATTTTTACTTTGTAGTAAAATCCCTTATGGTTTATCCAATTCCTGGAGCTGGAACTAACTGATCTACATATTTGACTTTCAACTGGTGGGAAATAGGTTTGAACCATGCTCAACATATCAACGTTTGGACAGCCAGGTAGTACTACTAACCTCACACAATGGGTATGGCTCATTGCCTAGGGTATGAAAATACACTTGGTTTCCTGAGTTTCATTTATCCAATTTGGAGACTTTAAAAAGCTACTTTAATTAAGAAATTTTGATCATTATGAAATTCAGTACATTATTAGCTAAAACAACTAATAACAAAAGCGTTTTGTTACTCACTTTGTACGCGAGCATAATTAAGGTAAATTATAATACTCAGGTCAGACAGCGTTCTATTAACCTATTTGGAAACTTTGTACTAGGACTAGTAGTTAACTAAAAACTCGGAAAATAAAATAAAATCATTTTCAAAAGGAAGTAACCAGATATGCCGATCAAGGCAAAAGAATTTAGTCAACAGATAGATATTAGAACCCAGCACATAGAGAAACTACTTGCAAACTGAGAGTACAAAAGCAAAAGGTGAGATTTGTTTTCAAGTAAATACCTAGGGTCGTAATTGTATTAAATCTTCTTGATACTTTATGGTCCTCACGTGGCACACTAAGACAAATTCTCAAGTAAGTCCAATTTATTGAAATATGAACACAACCCACATGGTTACATTTTTCAAAAGCACAAGAAGACTACTCATCGGCACTTTCTTTACAATGAACTCCAATAGAAATGGTCATAAAGTACAACATAAAAATATTACGATGACACAAAACGAAAGAAGAGGAATTATGAACAAAATAGTATGACAAAAAATCAGAAAGGGAGAAGTTATTTTGTAAAATACATCCAAAAAGTTTTCATAAACATGAGCCGCAAACAAACCACAGCATGGTCACTCCTGGTTTCGATTCCGAAGTATACTTGAAAGTGTCTTAAGTCTAATAGTTGTGTGATCCCTTCAAAAACCCTTAGGGATTTGTGATGCAGCGACATATACCAAGACAAGAATACTACCGCTCATCTTGTGATGATAAATTTAAGTATGTAGCACCGGATTACGAAAGTGAAACAAATATAAAGTAGAAATCAGGTTTCAAACAATGAAGGGGAAAATGATACTGTGTACAGTTCTTTTCGCGGGAAGTAAAACTATCTCCTTGGAAGAAGATAGACTGTTTGGTTCTAAACAAATATGCCCAGGACAGAACAATTTGAGCACTTCTAAGGTTTGTGCGTAATTGGAGACTAAGTGGCATAGATAGTCAAAGAGTGGTAATATCTGGATCGACATTAAATGACTTTACATTTAAAACACATGACGGGGTTGAATCAGTGTGAAACAGTGATGTAGAAAATCCCATTCTAATGCTATAACCGTTTGCAAAGACTGATAATAATGGAAACTGAAAGTCTGATCTTTATGAAAGCTGCCTGTGGTTCATGTGCTAGCCTAAAAACTGGAAAAAATGTACACTAATGCATTCACTTTACAGATGACCAGAAAGAATGAGCAAGAAGGAACTCTGGCAACGAACTAACCAAGAACCTATCGCTCAACAAATATGCAGAAGGAAGTGGAGATGGATTGGGCATGCACTGAGAAGACCATTCGGGGACATCACGCGCCAGGCACTCGAGTGGAACCCAGATGGGAAACGACGAGTTGGGATGCCGAGGGTGACATGTAGAAGGAAGAAATGAGAGCTTCTGGGCAGTCGTGGAGCCAGGTTCAAAAGATTGCAGGGAACAGAATGGAATGGAGATGAGCTACTGAGGCCCTATGTTCCACTAGGAACCCAAGAGACAAATAAAAATAAATAATAATGTATTCACCTATCGTTTGTACCACTTTATGCATGGCATATCTACTACAACACTTGACAGCAATTTCGGGACTAAAGACACTGAAAAGGATGCATTGCATAACTAGCTGTAAACGGTTTGTACCTTTAATGAAAGCTGTAATCATAAGATTTTCTCCCAGAAAGGTTCTAAGTTGACACCAGACATTATCAAACATCTGCTATTAGTCATGTGCTATCAACAATATACAAACTTGACGTTCGCAACGCGATAAAAAAGTTGCTCATGATGACACTTCAGCATTGGATATTTTCAATTCAATCTTTCAAGTGACTACTTTCGAGAGTGTAACAGAACTTCAGACAGCTGACAACCAAGTCACTGCTAGCTGCTGAAGAAACAAAAAAAATTAATAACTCGCTCAAACATTTACAATATGCGAAATGGCTAAGATAAATAAAGACGAATGTAGAACTACATACAAAATATTACTGAAAGTTGAACAATAGTAGACAAAGTGAGAATGAACAGAAACAGACAAACACTATAGTAAGAAGCACAATAACAGAGGGAAATAATAGGTATAGTAACCAGACACTTAATCTTACGTATATTAAAGAAGAAAGAAAACTGAATTTCTTGAAGTTGGTTTAATAAAATATGACCCCGTTTTACAGAAAAATACAAGGGAAAAAAGGACAAATAATTTATAGTTTGGTCGTTTCCTCTCGAGACAAAATATTCTCGAAGTACAACCTTACAATCAAACAAACGAAATTTGAAATTATTTAAAATCAGTAGGTGTTAAATATGTAAATACACAAACCAACTTAAAACTACAAAATAACCGGGCGAAATCTGATCAGAAAAAGGTAGGATGAAACCAAATAAATCAATTGTGATGACCAAGGCAAAACGTGACCGAAGTAGTATCAAAAAAAGCAAAAATAATATACTCCATGCCATTAGTTTTTACACTTTTTGTGCAGCCCATCTGTTTTTCCCCTTTAGTAACACTTTTGTGTCCTAGTATGGAACTGCTCAGCAGTGGGCACCCATGACCCCTCCAGGGACCAAACCTAGGACCTTCAGGTTCCATAACCAGCACGTTACCATTAAGCCACTGGATCGGAATCCAATTGTCCATCTTTCCTACTTCTGTCAGTTCACGATATAGCACGACCTACATCCAATGTCGTCGTTGGGTAACTGTCATATATGTATAATCATGTTTTATTAAGTAGTCACTGCAAGGATATAAGAAGTGATGACATGGAGTTATAACAATAATACTATCATATAAATCGGGTGACAGATAACGCACTTATGCTTTTTTATATTAGGGATGCGTTAAGGTCATTAGCACAGACATTTTTCACAAAAGCATCAAATTAAGAGTTTAGTACTGAAATTCTCATTCTAGCTTACGTGTATTATAGCATTCAAAAGTAATCAAATCAATTAACGATGGGATAATACAAGCAAAATAATATGAATTAAAAGTAGGGTTAAGAACACATATACACACACAAGAGCCTTATCAAACGATATGGCATGAAAGCAAACCTTGGACTCACCGAGTTAATCTCAAAAGAAAACAAACCGTTTAATATCTGTAATTCATACGAAGCGCAATTCAAATGCGAAGATAAAAAACAATTTATGAGTGAATATGGATATGGGAAAATGAATAACCAAAAACTTTTCTCGTTACATGTGTCATCTGAGCAAAAAAACTTTAGTTTATTTGAATTCCGTGAAATGTATTGTAAGGGTTATGAGGAAGGTAGTAGCAATAATGTAACTATAAGAACTCTTATGCAGAAATACTTATTAAGGTTTTCTCAGTCGATAAAAATCACCATGGGACTTGGCTATAATGTATCATAGTTGTTATATCTTACATCAGCACGCCAAGATGCAAGACAAGATGAAGGACAGATAAATATAAGTAAATTAATCAAAAGTTGCAGAAGGTGACGAGAAGAGAAGGTAAGGTATGTATGTAATTGAAATTTTCTGATTGTATACATCGACTGATTAAATCAAGACATGGAAGTGCCACCATATATCAGGAGAAAAATGGAAATTCAAGTTACCATGGTGAGAGAGCAAATCACTTGAATAGATATACTTTGTTCATAGTGTATCAAAGTGAGTAAATTATATTCCCGGTAGTATGAAACATTAATAAGTAGGAACCATAACTGAATTTTTGAGAAAGTACAGCAAACTATCGAAACAACAATAACAATAATAGACTGCTAAATGTTAATGATAAGAAAAGTGTAAACTTTATTTAGCAGAAGATAGATTGAGGGACTAAATATGTAGAACCTTATACCCACCCAACCCACCCTTAAAGCGAACAGAACTTAACTGAACTTTGCAGTTTGAGACTATAATAATTCAGCATCAAAATGTACGAAAAAGCCAAACGCATATGCATAAATGTCATACCTTCTTTCCTTTAGACTGAGTCCTGCCTCTTTTAAGCATGATTCCTTGGTCAGATATTTTCGCTTGATTTAAACTAAAGATACCAGCTTGTATAATTGGCTGAGAACCAGTGTTATGAAGAGTCGATGGAGGCCTTTCCGCACCGGCCGCACGTATAGACCTTAAACGACTATTCATCACATTTGCGAAATATTTAGCTTCCTCAAGTGATGCAAAAGCAAGTCCAATTGGTCCATTATCTGATTGCAATATGTGGAAGTGTTTTAGCTCTTCAGTATAATTCATTTCCAAAAAAAGCCTTTGTTCTAAGAGAAGAATCTTCCTCTATAAAGATAGAGTATGAATTGCAACTGAACAAATAAGAGCAGACTTACAATTACGTCATATATTCTGATGAAGTAGTCTTTATAATTTCTATCCTTGATACAACAAGCAACACCACACCCTTTAAGCACCCAGTTGGACTCATTTTCACCTTTGAAATATCGTACCACAGCAGAAGCTAACGACTCACACCCAGCTCCAAACAATGAGTGCAACGTAACATTCTCTTCGTTAGTTAGCAGAACTGAAGTTCCACCTAATGGAGCGGACTGTCAGGGACCAAAAGTATATATGTAGAAATCAAAAACAAGAAAACCATATCTGAGTAAGCTTGCTTAAGGACAAAAAAGAACCTTTTAACCAGATGAAGATATATAGGAATTACAATTCACGATCAAACTTTAGTAGGGAACATAAAAGAACAAAAAATCCATCTCCACGCACGAACCATGAGCAAATAAACAAAACAGAACAAAATGAATAAAAAACACTTAAGTCTATATAGTGTTTCACTCAGTAAGTAATTTATCGTAGTTACAACCTTATATTGCCTAAAAAGTCTAACTATTAGAAATGGTCATCTTCAGTCTCAAAGTAAAAAGTAGATCACGACGGTACACAGTGAAGTTAAGCGTACCGGCTTATCACTGTTTTTCGGATGACTATAAAGTATATGACGAGGATAAGTAATTGATTGCAAATAAGACAGAACTAGAGAGGGTTATAACACCGCCTCACCTACAGAGGCTAAGGCAGCCACGTAGTATTACTAGCCCTCACCTAATAGGTGTGGTTCATTGCCTACTGCACGAATCAGAAAACACCAAAGAAGAGAAATACTAGTGATTCATTCTGACGGAAAACATCTTAATTGAGGTTAGCCACCGTGTAATCTCACTGGTGTCACGATAGGTAAATCATAGATGGAATAAAACTTCAGTGATTCAAACTTAGTGCTATTCCACAGAATGTCTACAATTTCCAAGAAATACAGAGAAAGAGTTTACAAGGATTATTGACTGGAAACTTGTCACTGATAAAAGAAATAAGATGTATTTCGTTCAATTTTACAGTAATTAAGTCAAATGTGAACAAACAATTTGCACAACAGTTACAATCAGAAGGAAAAGTTAAGTTAGCATGGTTAGTGCATATTTTCCAAGGAAACGTTTTATTTGCTTATAACACAAATTTGGTACAAAATGGGAACCAAGAGATGCACCATAGAAAATAACATGAGAAAACAAGTGATATAAAGGGAAAGAAATGAAAAAGTACAGAAGTGAAAATGGATTGTTAAAGAAGCAGTCTCAAACATACCTTTTAAGTAATAGAAGAAACAAAGAAACTGAAGTACGACCTCCAGAGGGTTCGACTCTAAGCCGTTTCGCCTATCGTCTCCAGCCACTGAGGTGCATGATCTCTCGAACTCCATCCAGGGAGGTGTGAAGCACCTACAAGCGCTAACTTGAAACAACTGTCCTTCATCCCACAGCGCCACGTCATACTCTGGTCGTCTATCCGCTTCTTCTAGCTAGTCTCAGGGTAAGTGAACAGTGAAACGTATGGCAGCAGCTGGGATGATGTTTGTAACATATATCCAATCCATTGAAGCCAGTGTTTCAATATGACCACACTCAATGAGTGCCTATCTCCATAATGCCTAAAAGCATACCTCACCTCAGAAATTACTTGCATGATTTTTCCACCAGATGCGAGTAATCCTATGTAGACAACTTTGATCGAAAACGCAGAGTAGTTGGATAGCCTCAGCTGGGAGAGGTCAGGTTTCACAGGTGTAGATCAAAAGTGCTCACAGCAACGCGATGTTTATCCAACGTTTTAAAGACAGGCTATCTTCACGATGGCCCCAAAAGAGAAACGGACTGGCATATCCCGCTTTAGCTTTTGATGTACGGTTGAAAACTTCAGTCGCATCCACCAGTACTAACAACTACACAGGTACAAACTTTTCGACAACTCTTAGCAATTAACCACCAAGAATGAGTGCAGGTATAGGATCCTGTAAATTTTACCAACGCATTTTGCACTTCGCCGACGCAAAGTACATGCTATTCCTAAGATTTTGAAGATGCACGGTTTAGAATCATTCCTTATTCAGCAAGCTGTTCCAATATGATCAACATGATCTAAAAACTGAAAGATCGTTTCTCTAGACCATAGTAGAGCTTATCAGCGACGTACCTCAATAAGTCCAACTTTGACAGTTGAGTTGTTCAGAACGCCTAAACCCTACTAATCGAATTGCATAGAACGGTATACCATAAATTAAACTAACTACGTGCTAGTTAATTTCAATGTCACCATATTGCATGCAAACGAATGTTATCTTGATAAAAATTATGCTGATGCATCAGCAAGTAGAAAGACAACAAATTAATTCCCTTTGAGTTTTGTAGTATATGAATATTTACTGTAGCCCGATACTGGATATATTCTTTGATTTGGAAACAGCATTTGACTAAATCCATAGACAAGTTTTGTGGAAACATTTGATTGTGAAAGGAGTTTCAAACATATCATGTTGCTTAAAGAGCTACAATCAATGGCATCCAATGTTCTGTAGAATTAATTTAAGCTAACGACAATTAGTAGTGTCTGCAACGCATTCCCACCGTTACCATTACTGCTAATATTGACATAAGTAAACTGATAGAGGAGATTCAACTTACCTCTGAAATCTTATACACTAATTCATTTAGACACTTTAATTAACTAGATGTATATGGTCGACAGAAGTACATTCAGCTATGTTTACACAACACAAACTGCGAAATTTGCAAAAATCAGTACGCATAAGTACGATAGGTGGAGTCATCGAAGTCCAAAGTTCTTTCGCAAAACTAGAAATAAATTGTCTGGAACTATATTCAATGGTCAACCGATTCGTTCGTTTTTGTGAATGCTTGTATTGTGATAGATAAGATTTCCAACCATGCTTCGACAGCGATCTATCTTGATTAAGGTTGTCTTTTATGCCCTTGTACTGATAGTCTGATTACAAAATATCGGATGTAGCACGCTTCAACATCGGCAGCTTGTTTTAATCCCATTTATCATTTGAGTAAGTCCAACGTTGCATTCGATCTCAGTACTGCCCATGCGTCATGGGAGTGCAATACAAGTAATGAATGTAAGGCGCTAGATAAATAACGTCAGTTAGTGAGGTTAACTTGTTTTGACTTAGAGAAATGTAACACTTACTACGAACCGACACTAAGACTAAAAAATGTGTTTTAAAGCAGTTTAAGGTTGAAAAATAATAGCTACCAGAGTGGGATGTAACAGAAGTTAATAAATTTCTCACATTCCCTTAATCGCAGGACTGGTAGTTTTTCCTTTGACCTGCCCGTCACAATCATCCCTGGCTCGAACGCTTTTTCCCTCAAGGTCCAACCGGGCCAAAAACGTCTTTAGTACCGCAATAGACAAAAGGCAGTTACCGTCACAATCTAAATAGCAACGTTATGATGGGCATACGAGAGATAAGTGCTCGGGATCATCATCAATATCAACATAGGACCAGGCATTACTGAGTAACGGTCCGAGTTGCCACAGCTCATATCAGTATACCAAGTAGAAAGGTAGTGAGGTGAAAGATGAAGATAAGAAAATTCAGTCAAAAGAAATATAAAGTACGAGAAAGAAGGAAGGAAGAATGACAAAATGGTGAAACTCGGTATACCGTCGTTAAGATGAGGACAATGTGTGTATACATCTGCGTCACTGACATCGCTTCTGAGCCATATCACCTAGAGCCTCCAGCCACTGGTTCCTCTTGTCCCACAGGCCCCAACAGGCTAGTCTACATCACCCCACATGGCTCAAACCAACAGTCAGAGACTTCATGCATTGGTGCCATGTTTTAGTCAGGCCACCTCGGGCCTTTTTGATATTGTGTGATGAGGTAATCGGTGACTAGGCATACGCAGCACGTATCTCAACCATCTCAGTCAATGAAGGTTCATAACCTCGTCAACTGATTTACCTCTTCTCCCTAAAACTCTGTACCTGACTTCTGCATTACTCACGTAGTGACACCACAGAATACCGCCTATACTTCGAAGGCAACGGTGGTCAAACACTTGAAGCTATCTCATGGCCATGTTTCGCAACCATATAGTAGAACAGACCGGACTGTTGTGTAGTACACGCGACTCTTAATAAACAAACGGATATCACGGGGACGTCATAGGTGGCATAAATTGGCAAAAGTCAATCGAGCCTTTTGTATCCATGCCGAGATTTCATCGGCAACTGATCCACCAGGGTTGATTCTTCTTCCCAAGCGTTTTGGATGCCTAACCCCCAAGAAAAACTAACTTATAACAAGCATATATTATTACTGTCAAATGCAAACCTTTTTTGCGTCATGCAAGCCTACTTATTTCCACCGTAGGTTAGGATACTAGACGCTGATTCGTTCATTTCACACTTTTAATATGCTATATTTTCCCTGACCAAGGCCATCTAAGGATATATAGACGACTGAATTTTCAGCTATAGGACCACTCAGTTGAAGTAAATATACTTTCAATCTCATCGTCTTTTTATGGCGTCAGCTGAATATCGTGTTGAGAAGTCATTGTTCTATCGTTAATCGTATCGCGTCGACGCATTACGTCGATACTAACAAGACATACTGCTGGTTAAGTGGGATGAGAGCAACAAGGTGTTTCCGCCGGATAACCAGCAGTCCCAGGCTGATGTTGCCTTCCCGATGGGAATGGAGTGGGGGTGGGGCAAAAAGACTGGCTCCCAAAATAGCAAACTCCTCTCTACCCTGCAGTCTTCCGTTACCTGCAGTATGGGCTTTTCTATCCAACGTTAGAACAGCCGAATAACAAAACAACAATATTGAAGAGGGTGTGTGACAGGTCTCAAGCAGACAACCTATGGGCTCAATCAGAGGTCGGAAATCTTTCTCTTAGGTAGCCTGCGGAAACAGCCTGGGTATATCAACCACCCACCCGCCCCTGATAGTAGACAAGATCCAACCGACCATAACTTTTCCTCACTACCTCTGACTGTTTCTTTGCCTACACTTTATGCCATCATTAAGCTTCTTACACTCTCACTCTGCAACTATTGCAAACGATCAAAGCCATCGAAACCTCATTCCTAGTCTCCTAAGACCCAGATACTAATTTTATGTTGTAGCTTTCAAAGTCCGAACTCTATGCCAAATCGGACACGAAGCATAGCTAGTCAAAACTCTGGAATCTCAAGTTATGGGTGTATGCTGTGCGTCTGTGACACGCCAACACGACCCGAATGCGGTTACTAAATTGACCTTACTTGATCAGTGAGGTGAATCTTCAAATTTCACCTTACGAGTATGCGCAGACCCAATAACTAGCTTTCATTGACTCTCTAGAGTATACATAGCATTGAGCCGTAAGGCGCTCCTCAACTGGATACCAGTCAACAGCCATCTATGTGCCATTCGATAGAATGGGTCTGTCAAAACTAGGAAGGATCATGAAACTAACCAGTGCCTATTTGTAATCTCGGCCTGCACATCCACCGAATGTAGTTCGGACGATGCACAGGATGAACTCTATGAGAAGCTGTCAACTTTGCTACAGAAAACAGAACGTTCAGATATAGTCATAACGACAGGTGATTTTTACGCTCAAGTAGGGAAGCTGAGTCAATCGGAAAGGCACCTTGATGATATCTACGGAATCCCATGACAAGGAACCCACAACGGTGATCGTTTTCTGTAATTCTCTTCTGACAACTACATGTATCTGGCCAGTACTAACTTTAAGCATAAGGAGAGACACGTCTCACATGGTGTCCGCCGACATCAAACCAACGATGGACAGCGGTAGATTACATTGCTATAAGCCATCGCTAGAGACGATCCGCGGTGCGTTGCCGCTATTTGTGGAGTACCTGTTTAAACTCCGATCATGTGCTACTACAGGCTCGTGTATATCTGCACCTTATTGGTCGCAGAAAACAGGAGGCAATGAGCCCTGTCTGTGCTCGATTGGTAAATGAGGACACCAAGTACGCATTTAGAGAGGAATTGGCTAGGCATTCATTTAGGCATGACAGCAATGCTCATCCTGAGGAAACCTGGTGTTATATTCAGTCTAGCGTAGAAACACCGGTGAAGATAGTTGGTAACCTACACCTGAAGGTTAGCAAACGTCATTGGATTTCCTCAACGTCATCCGAACTGATTGGTGCGAAAAGATTGATTTCAGTGGGCTCTAACCACAATGAGAAGCAGATAAACATACAGACAAAATGGACGTAGGACTTTACACGTCATCGGTTCAAGTAGCCACACTTCATAGGAGCATGCAGAGAACAAATGGATAAAGTAGGACTGACATCAAAGTAAACAAAAGTGTACGGGAGGAGAAATAATTTAAAAATGAAGATTAGTCAAAACACTCATGCTTTAGAAGACGTCGAGGAATGAATACATTGCGCTATTGTGGTCGATTTTCGACCATTTCACCAAGAGTCCTCGACCACTGATTATAATCGTGTCGAGGGATTCCAACCAGGTAGTCTCCAAGTCCCTACATGACGAAGGCAATCAGTCAGAGACTTCATAAACTAGTGCCACGTTTCGGTATGGTCACTCTGTATCCTCTTTCAACCTAGTCCAACTCAACTCAGCAGTCCACATCGAAGTAGGTGCTGGCTCACGGCAAGTGCAATAGGTGTCGAAGCCACCTCAGTCACTGAAGGTTCACAACCTCATCGACCAACCTGTCTTCCTAGTTTACTACCTTTCACCTTACCTATACATTTCTAACATTGTGATCTCACCATACGTGACCAATGCTACGACGACATCCATGCTCAAAACCCTGAGACCGCTTTACATCTCTTATCCTTAACGGCCATGTCTTGCAACCGTATAACAGGATTGAACGGAGTGCAGTGCAGTACACTCGTTCTCTCATTAAGTAGTCACATATCTCAAAAGTCACCAGATGCCGAACGAGTTCTGCGTATTCCAGCCGAGATTTTATCAGCAACCAACCCGTTCTGCCTCATACAACTCCCGAGGTTAGTGAAGTGGTTGATGCATTCCATCACTTTACTCCCTATCCATAAACTGGGAGTAGCTACAGACCAGTTAAGGACCATAATCTTAAAATTGACAGGTATGAATCGTGTGCCAAACATACTCAAATTTCTGCTGGAAGCTTTCAGAAAACTCTACAAGACTGGAAAATCGGTCACAATGATGCTATACATTCACGCTTTGAATATTTTCACCATCCTCTACTTTTTATCGTTTCCACCTCTATACAACTGTCTACTCTTTCTACCCGCCTATCCTTTACTTTCTATTTTGAAGTCTGCAGCTTTAACCTATACATTTCTGTGCAGGCTTCAACGTCGATTTTGCATCTGTTTGCTTGCTCAGGTTAACAACAGAAACCCACTCAAATTCGCGCATAAATATGAACCTGGAGACAGCGTCATTTAGTACGCAGTTGAATTTTATGTCAGATCCCATGAATACGCTGTAGCAGGTAGTGACTTTGGGGGCACTTCAAAGTGACTGGGCAGACAGGGTTTACCCTCATGATTTCCCTAAACATTTTGTGTCACTCAGACCACTTAGATGCGTCTTCTTGGGGTTCAAAAGATTATCAAATTCAATAGTTAAGGACTTTAAGAGTGGTTTAAAATCTAGTAGAGTAGCACAGAAATAACAATACTTCAAACTACTACGGAGGTTAGATACTTCATCATTCCACACGCAGTGGAGCCACGGCTCTTTAGTTTAGGTCGTCAATTTTCAACCAGCTGGTCATGGGTTCATCTCCACCTACCAAGGTTTGGATAGACAGGTAGTACCATAAGCTTTCATGCAATAGGTGCTTCTCACAGTCTAGTGTAAAAACCTGGATATGATCGATAGTCATTCCATATACTTGATTTCCTACCTCTCCTCACCCTTTCCCAATCATCTTCTAATATCACTGACAATATTTCGTTTCTTTTATCTCCCTACTAATTCACCCTTGCGATCCCATCCAGTTTGGTAGTCTACGCTTTAAGCGATTCGTCTGTCATTGTTTGAAATAGCGTCCAAAATATATAATCAGTGTTCGCTTACATGCATTATGCTGGTATTTGCTGGTGATAAAATATGAAATCAGTTAGTCTCGACAACTTAACAAACCTCTGTATAACTATCAAAAAGGATGCGCAAACTAAGAAATAAACGTTGTTAAATAGCTTTGAATTAAAATGCACCAATAAGTCAAGTATGAAGGTTAGATAAGAATCCGTTTGGATCAGTATGCAAAAATGTCACCAGCTGCGTGTAAGAGCTTCTGACACCCATAGGAAACAAATTATTACCGAACGCAGTGATCTTAAAGTGATAAGGGTTTCTTCAATGTGAATCTCATATATGGTTAAAAGTACTATTAGTTTATTGAATGACAATCTTATTCATAAACTTTCTCTAGCAGCAGTGTCATGTGACTGACCAGTGGGAAAGGGTTAAACGTTCGGAAAAACCACGTTGACTGTACACTTTACTCATACAGTTCATCCTAGTAAAAGAATATGTCAGTTAGACCCAAAATATACTAATTTAAATTGTACATCTCATTCACTTCGCTTTACAATTCACTTTTACAGTCACATGATTCAGATGTCGAAGCGCGAAGTGATAAGTTGGTATGTTATTGGTAGGTTTGTAGTTATTATCACAGCTGTAATGTTAAAGCATAAATGACCACTGCATGTAACCACGATTCAAGAATCTGTCCACAGTAGTTCCAAACATTAGGGTACGCTACTGATTCCAGTTTACCAACATTTCTGCGACATGACGAACAGGAAAATACGTGATCGGAATGAACTGGTGCATCGCATGGAAATGCATACAAATGACAGGAAATTTGAAGATGAATCAGTAAACAATCGTTAAGAATGATAACCTTAGGAATAACCAAGAGATAATGTCAAGGACTAAGAGATAGTCTAAGACCAAATTTCTAGACCTTGAGCCATCCAATCGAGTTATTGTTGGTCAACTTTCGGCTGTTTTTTTCCTCGCACCTGTAAACTATGTCACTAATTTGTGACCTAAATGAATTCTTTTCTCCTTTAGAAGCTTTGGTGGGAAAGAGTTTTTGCAGTCTTGTGATTTGCGTGTCAGCAATACTAGTGGTCATAAAATTTAGAAACTTAGTAATACTACAATGTTTAGTGAACACTGCTTGCCAGTGGACACAGCCCGTTTCGGACAAATTCAGCGAAAATACTAATAGATGATAGCCATTAGCGACATTAATACAATTTTTATTAGCTTCAATTTGAGCGTGAATACTACAACTGAGTGACAGATTGCATTGAGTACAAGATGATTCTTCGACTTCCTTTGAATGTAAAAGTAAAACTCCGGTACTGTAGTACAGAAGTTTCATATTATACTAGTTTATTTGATACAGTATACAGTGAAATGATACATTACTGTACTGCATTAGATAAAATCTATGGGAATACAAATTTTCTGACTTGAATTATACCATTCAGTATTTCTCTTAATAAAATCTTTTAGTTCGTTGACTATAGTCACCTGATATTGTTAGTTATCTGTCATCTGCAGTGTGCTGACAAACCTCTATTATTTTCTTTACGTATATAAAACCACAAGACTTGAGATTACTGCTACGCTTAGAAGCAAGTATATAAAAGAAAAAGGTCCAACCTAACTGGTTACTGAAATGAGCGATTCGAAATTTATACATGAAAATGAAAGTATAAGGTAACTAAATAAGACAACCCACCGTCCGCATGTGTTTGGAAAAGCGCGTTACACTGTTCCCGCTTCTATGCTTGTGGGAATTGAAGGTCAAACTTCAAACTTCGTGTTGTAGAATTACTGAACGGCGGTTCCTTGGCTTATACGTCTGTCTTATTGGAATACGTTCTGAGTTTGGAATGGTCACAATTATCTTCCCGGATTCGAAAAATCTGAATGAATAGAGATAAACGATTACCAATTAATCTGGTCTCAAGGTAGTATCACTGCACCTCATCTGCAGATAACGGAGTCTCTCGGGTACAGCCCATCGGTACCGTAAGACTCAAGGTGTGCGTCTAACCTCCTTTTAAAAGTATCAGGGCATGGGGCTGTAACAACTGCTAAAGGAAGAGAGTTCCACCGTTTACAAACTCTAACCGCAAATGAGTTAGCACGGATTTTTGTACGTGCTCTCTCATGCTCTATTCTAAACGGGTGACCCCCAGGTTGCGTTTCTGAGTAAAGCTTAGAAGAGATCTGTCAGGATGGAGAGGATTATGGGCAATGTCGTACATCATGATCATATCTCCTCTGATCCTCCGGTATTGTACTGTATGCAGCTTAAGAGCGACTAAGCGGTCTGGGTACGGTTTATGCCATAACCCAATCACTTTCTTTGTAGCTCTTCTCTGTACCCACTCTAGGATGGATGTGTCCTCCTTTAAGTATGTGGTCATCACAAGCGAATTTTTCTCGAGATGAGGGTGAATGTACAGAGCATACACTGGTGAAAAGAGAAGGAGTTAGACCCTTTAACGTTTTCGAGAGAAACTCCAAGACTCCATAGGCCTTGTTGGCTGCGAGGCGGCAATGAACTGAGGCTCCTGCTGTGTCACTTAGTGTAACTCTCAAATCTTGTTCTACGTTAGAGTGACAGATATTCATTTCACCCAAAGAGTAAGGACTGGGTCTGCTTTTATGTTTGTCAGCCATCATTATCCGACACTTCTTCGAGTTGAGGGGAAGCAGATTTTCTGTAGTCTAATTAAGGATCTTCGTACAGTCCTCTAGGAAGACCGGAGTTTCTGTTGGCATCTGTATTTCCCTCAAAATTGGCATATAATAGTGAGTGAGAATTGAGGGCTCCTGGTGGGTCGCTGAAACAGTATTGGACCCGAAATAGAACCTTTAGGTGGTTTGAGATCGATTTCTTAGGTAAATGGTCACGAAATGAGTCATTTATGATTCTCTCCATGACCTTCGCAACTGAAGAGATCAGGGAGATCAGCCTGTATTCGGAGGCAAGTAGTTTGTTTCCACCTTTATATTAGGACGACAGCCACCCGTTTCCAATCAGAGGGTAACCTGCTTTCCAGAAACGAGCATTTGAAGAGGTTTGCTAGTGGGACACACAGAACTTCAGCACACTCCTTGAGTGCTCTTGGGTGAATATCATCGATTCCTGGAGACTTATTCGGGTTCAGTTTCTTTAACATTTCCATAATTACAGAAGGTTTAAACTCTATATGATTTAGTCCCTCTGTGACACGGGTGTCCGACAGAGGCGGGGTTTTGTCTCCCAAATGACAGTTGTTTTGGAACTCATGAGCTAGTAGGTTTGCAACTTCGGAGTTGGAATAGAGAATCTCCAAACTAATGGGGTCCTGCAAACTTAGTGAACTGCCACTCTTCAGTTTCATCAGCAAGTACAGTATCCCAAGATTCTCCACCAGGGTCCTACATAGTTGTGTCTGGTGGTTTATTCTGTCATTTCTGACTCTTATAGTACCAGTCAATAGGGCCATTAGTGCACCCCTATCGATTTCGGGATGACCGCTCACGCTGTATACGTTTGCGTATGCCTGACCTAGGCCAGGAGGAGTGGAATTTGTTGGTTCTTCTCGGAATCAGAGCAGTGTTATCTTTCGAGGAGGATTGTGCCCTTCAACAGATACCATCTGGCATCCAGATCCAGGTCATCGCAATTTCAGCAGGTGGAACCTTCTAGGTCTTGCTGGACCTTGTCGAAATCGGCTCTCCTGTAATTCCTGACTGGTGGCTGATCGGAAGCGGGTGGCTTAGACATGGAAATATTTAAAGAGATAACTGCATGGTCACTCAACCCAAGAGAGCTAACAGAATTCAAGTTGCCTACTTCAATGTACCGATTTGTGAAAATATGATCCAGTCAGTATGCCTTACCGTCAAACCCCCAGTGAGTGCACTGAGAGACACGTTCAGTCAAGCAGTTTTCCACTAGTGATTCCCGAAAGTCTTTTAGAGCGAAAGATGGACTGTCTGTGGTAAAAAGTTGGGGAAGGTTAAAACCTCCCACAATGAGGACCTGTTAAAAGTTCAGTCCCAGAGTTCCTCCAGCTAAACACGGAACTCCACATCACTTAACGCTACACCAGCAAAAAACACTCTTGGTGCCAATTCTGTGGAACTGAATCTCGTGGGATTTCAAGGAAGGACAGATGTGAGGAGCAACGCCACTTCCTAGGCTCCCCGGTCTATCCTTCCAGATTGGGCCAAGCTGTCACAAACAAACTTCCCCATTTTTTATGTTCTCTGTGAGCCAAGTTTCACAGAAAGCCATTACGCTGGGGCTAGCCTTATCAGCTAATGACCTTAACTCTGGCATCTTGGAGCGCAGGCCACGCACACTTCCATGGGCTTAGCGAAGGAGAGTATGAGGGCCGAAGGCCGCAGAAGCAGATTTAGTTAAGAATGTGTTGACAACCTTCAAGTGGTCGACTTTGACAAGTTTTTGATGGGGTGCGAAACCAAGGGGTACTAGACCCATCGATCTATTTGACTGAGAACTAGTGCGGGATTCTTCAATCTGGGGCAAGGTCGATAAAGACTCTTGCTCATTGTCCAACCGTTGGATCGTTAAGTGTGGCTTGGCCAACGACGAGCGATTGAATCGCCTCTCAGTCCGCCTTTGTGCCCTGGGTTGGCACTCACTTACCAAAACTTTTCTAGGGAATGTGTCAGATACATTATACCAGGATTTCAGGGTAGCTCAAGGTTTACTTGGAGAAGCTTGGGAGTACGAATGGTCGAGGTGTGAGCCGGCCTTGGAAGATGATAATTTTTTTCGGCCCTCACACTGATTTAGGGTTTATTGGTCAAATATCTGCACTCACTTACATCGTGGGCAAGCCCACCAGCATCGATCGCCGAACATTCGGGATTCCTCGGTATGACTACTGAACGGCATAGTTCTTGGGAGTGGATTTTCTTGCTATTGCAGAGAAGTTTTCGTACTGACTAGGGTCCGCCAGACCTGGTCCTAACGCCAAACAGCTTCCGACCGACGAGTACCATCAAGAGACTCTCAAAGGTCTAAGAGAGCCTCTGGAGGAGAACTTGCTACGCGCTGGGTGTTGAAGAGATGGACTGCAGGGCGAGGTTCCTAGAAGTTTGCAAAAATTCTTCCATTGACCAAGATCATGCTCTTCACGATCAGTCAGTGGGGAAGAGTCACTTCCCCGAAGGTCGAGGAGTATGAGTGATCAAAGGTTAGGGCTATAGCCTGACCTTTCAGACTTATTCCTCCTTGTGAATACAGACCCAGATTTCTGATTAGCCTCTTGGGAGTGACTCACAAGACCCAGGCCACCGCCTGCAGAAGTTACCTGAAGGATTGACCGAGGCTAATGATGAAACGCAGATAGCTTCCGCCATGCCTTATGGGTGGCGAGACCGTGATCTGCCTTGTTCAGAATGTTTTTCACCCGAGTGAGAGGGGGAATGATCAGCTCATGATCCGGCTTCCCGTTAGATTGAATAGTCGTGACCTTGCCACGCTTAGGGTCGTTACCTAAATTCTCGCCTTTAGCTGATCTGACCTGGCTACATTTCTTTAAACCTCTCTTTCGGTGCCCGTCAGGCGTGAGATTCAGATTCATCAACGAGGGGATCCACCCCAAAGGCATGCTAACAGGGGGGCAGTTCGTGACCGTGATGATTACCCTCCTACCTCCATTTAAGCATGAAATTTTGGAATTGGCCATTACCGGAGAACTACTTTCCTTGACCCCACGAGGCCTCTTTTAATTGAGGCAGGCTTGCGTTGAGATCTCAACTGTAGAATGATCAGAGTTCTGCCCCACTAGCTGTCTGCCTATTTGGTATTTACTTTTGGACCTACAACATGGACAGAAATAACAGTCTTCACCAAAAGGGCTATCAGGCAGTGTTTCGTAATAACCCGACGGCTGGCTGGGATTGCTAGGGCACTGAGCCATTGATAGCAATGGTCGCGACCCGTTGCCTTAACTGGGCAGCCGATATTCCTGTGATAAACCACGCAGACATCCTTCGAAACTCTCATTAGACTGAACGAAGGGTAGATAAATGTTTGTTACTCGGAGGGACGACTCAAAGAACTGCCCAAGATTTGTAGACTTTCGGGTTCATTTGGATTTTCAACACTTCTTGATGCACAATTATCAAACGAAGTTATCATATGCCTCTATATTAGCCTTATTAGGATTCAGTCTCTGGCAGAGAATTAAGTATCTGCCTCCCTTAAATAAGAATTGCCAAAGAAGCATGAGAGAACACTATTTCGGCAAATCATCAGGGTTAAAATTTGATGAGAATTATGCCTAAACTGCATTCACATGTGACCCTTTAACTGGTTACATTTGATTCAAACAGGCATTACACTTTTACTTGAAGGTATCTGGTGATGCAGCCATCAATACTTACTGAGGAAAAGATTTGCAACGCTTATATATTCTTACCTCAAAAAGTAGTTGTTTCAAACGGCCACAGATGGCTAGCAAAGAAGGGGAATATTTCAGTTGACCAGCTTTCACAAGCAGACGCAGTGAACTGCGAGCTTTCCTGGCCACAAACCCATGTACAAGACAGAGTAAAAACGTGACGTCCGAACATAGTCAAGCTAGTGGTTCAACTCAAGCTCATGTCGTAGGTAAGCTTCCAGCCGGTGTTGAAGTAATTCGGATCAAGTAGCCAAAAACGTCTGAGGAAACAACATCCCAAGGTCCAACAGCCTTATGGAAGTAGAAGTCGCAT